ATAGACTAGAAGCACTATTGCATTTGAAACAAGTATTTTTCTGAGTCCACTTTCCATACCATCCAACTAGGATTAAGAGATAATGTCCCAGCAATTGTGTAAGCTAACATTCTTGGGTTTCAAGCAACACTTTGAGGGAATTTTTTCTTTCTTATTTGTTATTTCCAAAATAGAATCTGTTCCTATCATGTATGGGCTGCTTCTCTCATGGAATAGCAGAGCCTTAGAGTTGGAGCTAGTCCAACATCCCACTCAATTCCAGAATCCATTATTTAGGACAATTGCACTCTCGTGGATGATCATGTAATCTTGGTTTAAAATCCACCAGTGATGGGAAAATTCATTTTCACAAAACCCCTGCTCCATTTATGGTATGGTATAGTAGAAATCCCACTGGCTTTGGAAACAGAGAAGAGGACTTACAATTCCAATTCTGGCAACATAAATGAGAGCAGTTTTTTACTTTCTCTGAGTCTTGTCTTATCTGGCATATGTGTTCAAAAAATAGCTGATGAAAAACTGCATGAAGATAAAACTAGTTAATGTAAAACATTCTCAATGTTTAGTAGTCCCCTCTGTCCCTACAGATAGAAAATTCTTTTTCTGGTAAGCCTAAATCTGACTCCCTATACATTATTTCATTCAATAACTATTTATAAGAGGACTATTCAAGGAACTGTATGTAACTGAGAACAAGATGGAAGGGAACTTACTCTCAGGGAGATTATATTCTACTAAGAAGAAACAATCCATTAGACAGTAAATGAATGAAGTTTATGGTAAAAAAATTGAATAGATAATGATACATGTTGTATAGAAAATTAAAGCAGGGTTATGGACTGGTGTCAGGATGGTGGCTTTAGGTATGATGTTGCTGAGGCTGTCAGGTAATTTGAAATCCAAAAGACAGACCTACCTCTTGGTCCTAGTTATGATTTCTGAAGCAGTCCACAAAAAATACCAAATTGGTTAAGTTAGTTAATATGTCTTTAGTTTTTTCTTTTTCAAGCTGAATATCACCATACCTCCAACTTTTTTCTTTCTTTTTTTGGGAGTGGTGAGTAACTGGGGATTGAATCAAAGGTTGCATTGCTGTTGAGCTGTATCCCTAGTTTTTTTTTATTCTTTTAAATTTTGAGATAGAGTTTCTATAAGTTGCTGAGGCTGGCCTTGAACTTACAATCTTCCTGACTTAGCTTCCCAAGTCACTGGGTTAACATGTGTGCCACCACTCCTGGCTCCAACTATTTCTTATATAACATGATTTCAACAAAAAATTTCAATTGGGAAGACTCCTATTTGATCAATGCTGTCTTTAAAGTTGTTCTTTGATTGAAAACAATACTCCAGATGTAGTTCCAATATCATAGCATACAATGGTAGCATCCTTTCTTTTTGTTTAATAATGGTACCTAAGCTCAGGTTATCTTTTTTGGTAGCCCAATTGGAGAACATAGCCTAATACTGACCAAGTTGTCATCAATTAAAAGTATCTAGTCTTTTCCACAGGAACTCCTATTTGGATATTTGCAGTTTTATTTCCAAATGAGAACCTTTTATTTGCATTTGTTACCATTTTTATTGTTAATTTCAATCAGCCTGTGGAGAGATTTTTTTAAATTTAATTCTTCACTATACTCTGCTATTCATCAAACTCCACGTCATTCATAATTTTAAAAACAAGTTGCTTGGATTATGAAATAATTAGCAAATACAAAAATATTTCAGAGCTTTAGTAAATTCTTCAAGAAATAGGCCTGGGGGTATAGTTTAGTGGTAATTCTCTTCCTAGTATGCTGGAGGCCTCAGGTTTAATTTTCAATACTGCTAGAAACAAATAACAACTACAGCTTCAAAAATGCCTGCAATCCCAATGACCTGAGGGGCCGAAGTGGGAGGATTGTAAGTTCAAGGCCAAGCTAGGTAACTTAACAAAACTCCACTTCAAAATAAAATTAAAAAGGACTGGGGATGTAGCTCAGTGATAAAATGCTTGCTTAGCATGCTCAAGTCACTGGTTCAAACCTCAGAAAAAGTAAATAAATACATAAATAAATCCTAGTCTATCTGGGGAATAGTATCATGTTAATACTTGTGTTAATATATTATGTATCAATACAATGAATTTAGATCTTTGATCCCATGTCCTCACATTTATTATATTCTCAAAAAGTTAGATTATTAGAATTTCTATTTGTACTTCTAAATTAAAATTTTTTTCAATAACTCATTGAAATAATGATTAACTATTTGAGTTAGTCAAACATAAAAATAAAATGTTCTTTTCTGTGTAGGGTATACTTAAAAAATTAAGGTGTTTGGAATGAAAACTTTGAATCTTGGCATAAAACGAATACTCAGAAGACCAAGAATGCATTTCTGAATGTAGGAAAGCATTTGCCTTTGAGAGAAATTTAGAACAAAAACAACAAAAATTTTGCTGGGGGCTCCGGGCTGCTCTCCCTTCTTGAGTGAGCACGGGGCCCCAGCGCGCTGGAATGGATCCCCAATAAATCCCCTTTTGCCAATTGCAAAAAAAAAAAAAAAAAAATTTGCTGGGTGTGAGCACAGAATTAGTCCTTATTCAGAGGAAAAAAGTAACATGATATAATTATCTTGATACAATATACACATAAAACATACTGACCTTGAGAAGTTCAATTCAATTTTTATTTTTATCTGTCCTTAAACTGTATCTGTTTTCTAAAACTTGCCAAGAAAAAAGGCAAATGTAGTGGTCATCACCTTCACAAGAGTTTTTTTTTTTTCTCTCCATTTCCCAACTCCCTGCTGCTGACCTCAAGGCAAGAGTTGAGCTAGACTATGGTAGGTAGAGCTGCTGCACAGGTTTAGGTCAGAAAAGAGGGAGAATGAATTTTGGTTGTTAAAACACTGACTGGTTTTCCTTTGAGAGTGGGTATAATCTTGGTTAAGACATTTCTTAGATTGGAATAGATTTCATGTTAATGACATTCACTGGTTTTTTTTTTTTTGTTTTTTTTTTTAAAGAGAGAGTGAGAGAAGAGAGAGAGAGATAGAGAGAATTTTTAATATTTATTTTTTAGTTCTCGGCAGACACAACATCTTTGTTGGTATGTGGTGCTGAGGATCGAACCTGGGCCGCACGCATGCCAGGCAAGCGCGCTACCGCTTGAGCCACATCCCCAGCCCCATTCACTGGTTTTTATTGAGACATGAAAGATGTCAAACAGTGTGCATCTTACTGCTGAAGGTGGAAAGTTAGAGAATGTTCTGGGCCAGCCACAATTTTTTGTAGTCAACCTAAATCTACAAATGTAGGTCAATGAACATTAATTGAATTCCTAATATGCTCTAAGCACTAGAGATTAAAAGACTAATGAAAAATAGATCTTGCATTTAAAGAACTTACAATCAAGTAGGTAAGAGATACAACCTGGAAGACAATTCAATAAAGATATGCTCATTGTATTGTGTCCTTAGAGAGGAGGAATCCTTAACTCAGTCCAGGAAGATTTCTAAAGGAAGTTGTACCCTCCAAACCTAGCCAATAAAAATTTCATAGCAGTGTGTTTATCTCTGCCCCTCCCCAGCATTGAGCACTATTATGGGTTTAATCCATATTAGATACTTAATAAATATTTACTGGATTGAACAGAGTGTACTTTGCTCATGCTAAAAGGTTTTCTGCAATATCAGAAGAGGTGATTTAAGGTAAACTGTATATTTTCATTAAAGCTTCAAAGATTTCAAGTATATCCTGCTTATTTTTTTCCACAACACTCATCACAGTTGGTATTATACACATTACTATGTTTATTTTTTGCCACTTCCCTTGCTCAGGAATGTGAGCTCCTTGAGGATGGGATTTATATTTCCATTGCCTACAACTGTGGTTGGCATCTAGTAGAAACTCAACAAATATTTGTTGAATGAACGTGGAGCTCAACACTAATTAAACTGATGAAATGAGCCATTTAAAGGCAAATTCAATACATTTTGCCTTATTTGTTGTAATTATTTTGCTACATGAAGCAAATTCGTGAAGTAAATTAATGAAACTCTATATGAAAATTCTTTCGACCTAGGGCAATGTTCTTGCTTTTTTTGAGAACTTCATGGAAGCTATTAACTCTCCATATAGAAAAAAACACCTATACATGAAGTTTTGGTATTAAATATACAAAAATATCTAGTTGAGAACACTTGACCTAGATAAGAAGGGGGAACATTTGAGAAAAATTGAGCAGGGCTTTTTTGGTGAGTTTTTATTAATTTTTTTAAAAAAAAATGTTAATGTCCATCTTTGAGTGCCCTTTGTCTTATTTATAAAATGAGAACTACTGAATGATATGTATACCAAAGAAACTGTCTTCTATGATATTATCTAGCCTAACACTGAAACATGTTGAAAAAAAATTTTGTTTAATTTTTTTTTCCTCCTGATTTTCCTTAATTTTATTTAGAAAAAAAATTCAGGAGTTCTCAAATAAATTATTAACAAATAAAAACTAGGCAATTATTTAAACTTTATATAATAAATCATTTCCAAAAATATTTTAAATTTCAAAATATAAAAACAGACCATGTTTTATTAAAATAAAATCCACTAACTCTGTAAATGTTAGTGACCTGCAAAAGCTCTGGTATGATAAAGAATTCTACATAAAGGTGGAGTGGACAGTTTCCTAGGCACCCAAAGATCCTGCCTCCTGCTATTCACAGTTGTGTACTATCTCCTCTCCTTGACTGTGGACTAAATATAGTGATTCATGTCTAACTAACAGAATATGGCAAAAGTGATGGGATATCACTTCTGAAATTAGGTTATAAAATACCTTAACTTGCATTTTGCTTGTTTCTCTCTGTTTTTATCTATTGTTCTTGCTCTTCTTGCTTGACTGCTTTTCTTAGTGAAGCAAGTTGCCATGTTGGCTCTGTCCTATGGAGGACCACATGGTGAGGCAACTGAATCCTGACAATATCCATAAAGGAGAGCTTGGAATCTGACCCTCTCTTACCAAGTCTTGAGATGAAGGCAGCCCTTGTTGACTTCATCCTTAAGAGAGTCTCTGAGCCAGGGTATCCAGCAAAGATGCCTCTGGATTCCTTACCCACAAAAACTGAAAGAAAAATATTGTTATTAGGCCAATAGTTCAGAGGTAGTACATATGAGGTTCTGGGTCCAATTCCTGATACCATCAAATTATCCATCAATCAATAAACAAATTATTCAAAAAAGTACAAAAAAAGGAAAAAAAGTCATTACTTTAGGTCACTGAGATATGTGTTCATTTTTACACATTAGTGGATAACTAATACATCAAGACCCTATTTTATCTACTGCCAGGAAAACTGACATTTTAGGGCTTACTACAATAGCCTTCAAGGTACATGTCAGTTAAACAGTAGTATTTGTCAGAGTAGCATATTTCCAGCAAAACTGCACTCACCAAGATTTAGTTGCCTCAATTTGAAAAAATTATCTGATCTTTTGGTTCTCTAACAATGCTTTTTTTCTGCCTAAGGTTTTCTTTGAAGCATTCCACTCTATTTCATTTTAATAGGTTGCATGGGGAGAAGTATTAGCAATTTCTTATTAAAACTGACAGTTGATTTCATTAAATGAATTAAATGAGGAAAAAGGTGATAACTGGGAAAAATCCTTACAATTATGATGATAAAATAATTTTATATTTAGATTCACAACAATAATTACTGGTTTTGAAATAACTAGCATGTAGAATATTTGTGTGTGTGTGTGTGTGTGTGTGTGTGTGTGTGTGTGTGTGTGTGTGTGTGTTTAGTAGACTTTATGAATAAAGGAATGGTAAGGAATGAAGACAGAGTGCATGGAGATTCTTTAATGTCTTTTTGTAGAGTTCTGGCTCACCTCATAAAACTTAATTCTTGCCTTGCCCTTGTTTTGCACCACATTAAGGTCACAGTGGGGATATAATGATCTTAGGTCTCTCCACAGCTCAATTTAACTATAAGATAGAGCAACTTCCATAGTGAAAGGAGAAGGAAATGTACTGGGGAGCCTGCTTTTCTGTACCACTAGCCACAGATGACAAATCACCTATGGGGTAGGATGATGGGGGTGGGGTGAACCCAGGGCAAGTGTTAGCTGTCTACTTGAATTTGTTTGCACATGGTTCCAGCAAGGGATGCTTGTCTCCAACCCCAAATATAAACAGCTTGAAAGTAAATAATTGCATATAGAGAATCCAATATCAATATAAGCTCCAGTCCACTTTGGAAGTCTTGAATAACTAAATAGATTTCTGTGAAAAACTAATACCCAAAGCCTACTTACTTTCAAATTCCCAGAGAAACTTAATAACTTTCTTACCAAATCTATGTCTTTTTCCCATTTCTGCCCAGAGATTTCCGAAATTCCCTTCAGAAATTGAACCATGTCTTTCAGAGAACAGTTTAGTCCTGCTGCTTTCATTATGACAAAATTTATTTTAAGACTCCAAAATTCTACTCTGGCCTACGTGCCTTCTCTCAGGTCTCTTCATCTGTCATGAATGAATCTCTTGTATAACTCTCCTAAGTACAGCGTTTCATGCACATATTCTCCCTCGCCCATACACCAGAAGGTCTGGAGCTCTGCCATTATGTTAGGAGCTTCTGCTTAGAACTGGATTTAAAATGTCAAGTTTCTGGTGACACTGCAGATTGATAGTTGGTGTTTAATACTGGTTTACTTATATTTCTGGCAGGTCAGTAGATGCTAATCACTAGTTATTGCTCATGCACTTTGAACTAACAAAGCCCATGTGTTCTGAGTTAACTTCCAAAACAAAGAATATTCTACCTTTTAAGATTATTCAGATTAAATAAAACAACTTGATAAGGCTAATTTTTTACTTTATGCAGTTTTGATTTATTATTTTATAATATCTATTTGAAATAAGAAGGCAAATTTCAATTTTAAAGCAACAATTAGTTACTTATTCCAAGGAGAAATCTATATAAGTTTTTTAAACCATTATTTTTTTGTGTCTAAAAACTACACTTGAAAATAAATCATCTTTAATGTGCATTTTCTCTAATGTATTTTCAAAATAGGTAGATACTTTGAAGTAAAAAGCCACAGAATGTATTATTTAAAGATTATTGTTAGCATCATGTTGTAATTAAAAATCATTTGTTAATTAAATTATATGATAATCTGTTATTTAGGTGAGTGGGTGCTTAAATGAGAAATTTGATATATATTGTCATGAAAAGGGTTAAAATTTATGCAAAGTATTTTTAACTTTAGATCATTTTTTGTTTATTTAATCTGGTTATTTCCAAGTAAGAAGAGCAGGGTGGATCTGCACAGGTGTTTGGCAGAGTAAGGTATTATGAAACTTATCCTCCCCATCTCAGAGTCGAAGTATGTGGTTGGGTTTCATGCCCACTGGCAAACAGTCAGAGGTTTTAAAGTATCCATACTGCAGGAGTCTATTGAACTATAATGCTGAACCATGATCTCAAATTATTTTCGGAACAAAAGAGAAAAAATTGTAATCTCTTAAATTTTATAGAATTTATTTATTTGTTTGTTTACTTACTTACTTATTTATTTTGGGAAAGGGCTCTTACTATGTTGCTCAGGTTGGTCTTGAACTCCTTGTTTTAAGTGATCCTTGTGACTTAGTCTCCTGAGTAGAGCTGCTACCACAGGTGCGTACCACCATGCATAGCATTAGAGTACTGTTTTGATTATATCCTTTCCCTGAGTATGTTCCAAAATTTTAAAAGTGTTCAGTTCTTGAATATAAAAGTAAAATATATTCTTTATACAAACTTTACACATTAAGGATCTACACAATAAACCACACTATGAACAGTCTTGGAGCGTATTATTTTCCGAATAAAAGTTTGCTACTCGTTAATTATTCAGGGTCTAGTCATATTTTTAATACAATATTCTTTTTTTTTTTGTACTGGATATTGAACCCAGGGTCACTTAACCACTAAGCCACATCCCCAGCCCTTTTTTATGAATTTTATTTAGAGATGGGGTTTTGCTAAGTTGCTTAGGGCCTTGCTAAGTTACTGAGGCTGGCTTTGAACTCATGGTCCTCTTGCCTCAGC